TGAAATGTAGATTTTTTTTTCAAAGTCAACAACCTAAATTTAGCAGATTGGTTCTCAAATAACCACAGCTCTTTGTCAGGGGAACAAGCTATATTATATTCAAATATCCAATTTTGTGTCTAATGATAACCAAGAATGTCATATTTCTAAGTTCTAAAATGAACCTGCATAAAAATGTAATTGTAGATAGGTATTACAGATCACTCTCAGCAAAGCAGAGTGGAAGAGACAGAGACAGGTGAGGTGTGTAACATCAAAAGATCAAGTAGGCTTATTTCTCCAGAACCAAACATGCCTTTTTTTGCATTTTACTTAAAAAATGAATTTCTTAATAGTGCTGCTGCTGTAACATACATTTCCGTACAGTGCTGCTGCTGGACCCAATAATACTGGTGACATTTAAAGTGGCAGACCATGTCATGTGATTAAATCCCTATATTAGTTTGTCAAGAGTTTCAGTTGCCTTGTAAATTTTAAAACTGTTTTGGTGTGTACACTGTATTTTTGATATATACGGTAAAGGAAAAAAAGTATTTGATCTCCTGCTGATTTTGAACGTTTGCCACTGACAAAGAAACGATCAGTCTATAATTTTAATGGTAGGTGTATTTTAACAGTGAGAGACAGAATAACAAAAAAATATCCAGAAAAACGCATTTCAAAAAAGTTATAAATTGATTTGCATGTCAATGAGTGAAAAAAGTATTTGACCCCTTCGACTTAGTACTTGGTGGCAAAACCCTTGTTAGCAATCACAGAGGTCAGCTGCTTCTTGCAGTTGGCAATCAGGTTTGCACATATCTCAGGAAGGATTTTGTCTTACTTCTCTTTGCAAATCCTCTCCATTAAAGGGGCACTATAGTCACCTGAACAACTTCAGCTTAATGAGGTTGTTCAGGTGAGAACTATGGCTCCCTGCAGCCTTTCTCATGTAAACACTGTATTTTCAGAGAAAATACAGTGTTTACATTGAAAGCTAGGAACACCTCCAGTTGCAGTCACTCAGAATGCCACCAGAGGGACTTCCGAGTTGATTGAGGCATAAAACTCCTCAATCCACTAAGATCTGCTGTCAGCAGAGCACAGGGCGGCACTGTATCTCCTCCCTCTGCATGCAGACACTGAACTTTCCTCATAGAGATTCATTGATTCAATTCATCTCTATGAGGAGATGCTGACTGGCCAGGGCTGTGTTTGAATCATGCTGGCTCTGCCTCTTTGTTAGTCTCAGCCAATCCTATGGGGAAGCACTGTGATTGGATCAGGCTACCACTTCTGATGATGTCAGCAGACTGTTTTTTTGTTTTTTTTAGGCAAACAGCATGCAGAGTTACAGCTTCTGGCTTGAATACAGTAAAATTTTTACTATATTTATGGAGGCATGAGGGGCTCAGGGGGGCTAGATGGTGGTGTTAACACTACAGGGTCAGGAATTCCTTTTTTGTTCTTGACCCTATAGTGTTCCTTTAAGGTTTCGAGGCAGATAATGTTCACACTATTTAACAATGTTTGAATTTTGTAATTCTCTCCCCCAAATGGGCCTGAATTTGGTCTGTATTTGTGCTGGACCAAACACCACCTAACAGGTAAAATCTGGACCAAAGGATTCAAATCTAAGAGTGGATTTTTAAAAACTCCAAGCTGTTTGGGTTAGCAGCAAGCAGACACATAGTTAAAAACTCTCAATGGCGCAAGAGTTAATTATGTGCTAGCTGTCCATTGCTTGCAAGCCGGCAGCCCCATTAAACAGCAAAAATAAAAATACTAATGGGGTAAACAAGACCCCCATATTACTATAATGGTGATTTAAAACCTCCCAACAACCCTAATTGCCATGCAGATGGGGCATATCTACTAAATTGTTAAACCTTTGGAAGGACCTATGACATGGGAATGGGGCCTCTAAAATAACATAGTCCCCACCATTTCACCAACCATGGACATCGGAATGGGACTTTAAAAAAAGTAATAAGGGGTAGATGGGTCACTGTTGGAGACCCCATCAGGAGGAGGATCTATTGTATCCGGTAGGGGGAATCTTATGCAGAATATCAGTATATATGTTGATAACATATTATGTGATCTAGTAGTGACATTTCCCTCACATCTCAGGGACATGAAACAAACTCTGTCAGTTTACTAGACATTCATAGCACAACAAGGTGCCATACTGTGTAGCCTAGACCATACAATACTTGATGATGTGTGGATTCATTTTCCCAATCTTTTTTTGAAAACAAAACCAGGCCCTCTCTGCTCAAACCTCCTTTGGTCAGGTGTATCACTTCTGCCTCCTCATTAGCTAACCTTCACCTATGTTTGTGGTAGGAGCATATGAGGGTACACAAGTATGCCGAATATTACTTTGTGTCATCTTAGGAAATAGGCATATAGATGACATAAGTGCAAAATTGAAAAAAAAGGAAGAAGGAATAGGTGGGGCTAAAATTGGTGCTGCTACAAAACACCCGAATGTACAGTCACTAAAATACACTTAAAATACAATATACATAAGAAAAGAAAAAGGTGTTCTGCGCACACATACCATTTACCTTAGAACAATCACTTGTAAAATGTATCACTTTTTGGAGAAATACTGTTTCCTATATTAAACAGGAAATAGAACAGTACATAGTATAGCCTGTATAAATAATTTCAATTGATATATACAAAGTCAGTACACTCACAATTTTCAGAGCCTATCATAAGTTGGCTCTGGAAAAATATCGACATTTTCTTGACATTACAATCAAAATTGAAGATGAGGGAAAAATAATGACTATGTTATTCCGTAAACCTATATCTACGAACAACCTTCTGAATTGGTACAGTAACCAATAACAGCAAGAGGCCCTCAGCTCCTGCCCTGTGTATTTGTCACAGAAAATCAACAACTTTGTAGGAGTTGTACACTCCTTTTCTTCCCTTCATGAATATCGCTAAGTCTAGAGGCCAACAACTTGGCGTCCAGGCTCAGTAGAGAGATTGGTCAAATTTTTTTACATTCATTAGAGTTTTCCCAGGTTTTGGCAATGTTAAAAAAATTTGCTAAAAGCTGCTGATTGACATTGTATAGGGTAGTCAGATATGGTGCTAATTGTGATGCAAAGGCTTAATAGTATCTATTCAACAGGCTGTTTTGGAGAAAGTATAGTAATTACTTTGAGGACTTCTGTTGTTATTGGATTTACCAGTTCTTGTTGGGTCTTTGTCAATTGGGAAATAGATTGTCTTTGAAGGAGATTGTTGGGTAGGGTGTGCAACAGTCTGTGAGGTATTAAGATTGTATAAATATGTGTTATATTTTGCAAATTCCTCACTTAATGTATATTGTGTGGTTTGCTATTTTTCTTTTAATTTGTATTTTAATAAATACAAATTATATTTGCATTTTGCATTTGCATTTTGCACTGTACTCATGCTTGTCGGTCCTCTGTGTTGATGCTGAGGTTTCTGGCTGTGGCTGGGGTGACAGGCCTAATTTTTGCAGGAACAGTTCGGGATCATCTTGAGATGTTAGGGTGAAATTCTCTGCTCCCTTGTCAGCTGTGAGGTATGCCTCCATACATGGCCAGCCTAAGGTGTTCAGGTGCCCTGTGCGAGCCAATCTTGTGGCGCCCCCCCCACCATCTTTGTTTGACCCCCTCTAGACAATTTCAGGCACATTCACAATCTGTCGCCTGCACCCCCTTCAACAAAACCCTGCCCTCCTTCATCAGTACCCTGCCCCCCTTTATCACCAGTCCCCTGTCCACCTTTATCGCCAGCCCCCTGCCCCCCTTATCACTAGCCCCTGCCCCCCTTATCACTAGCCCCTGCCCCCCTTTATCACTATCCCCCCCTTCACCAGCCCTCTGCCACCTTTATCACTAGCCCCCCTTTATCAATAGCCCCCCTTTCATCAGCCCTCTGCCCCCTTTATCACTAGCCCCCTGCCCGCTTCAATAAAATGCAATCGTTATATTAAAAAAAGGACAAACACTTATATTAAAGGCTGCTGCTCCCTGTATCCAGCTGTCTGTTTTTCCCACTCCGCTAACTCGCCGACTGAAGAGCACCTGCCGCCCTGACACCCACTGAGCAGATCCTTCCGATGTTGCACCCCCATGCTCCTCCACTACGCTCCTCCTGCATTCCAATTCAGGCCAGTTTGTGAGTGACCGACTGCGAGCTGTGTCTGCCAACTGACACCCCTGTTGCCAATGCGCCCTGTGTGGCCACACAGCTCGCACACCTCAAAGACCGGCCCTGGTTACAGTCAAACAAAAAGGCATACAGTCAGGCACAGTTACACAGGCAGACTGTCACACACAGAGTACAGTCTCACACACACAGGCAGACAGTCAGACACTGTTACAGACTGTCACACACAGAGTACAGTCTCACACACAGGCAGACAGTCACACACAGTACAGTCTCTCTCTCACACACACACACACACACACAGGCAGACAGTCACACACAGAGTGCAGTCTCTCACACACACACACATGCACACACGCAGACAGTCAGACACTGTTACAGTCACACACAGAGTAGAGTCTCACACACACACAAGCAGACAGTCGCAGAGTACAGTCTCACAGAGTACAGTCTCACACACACACAGGCAGACAGTCTCTCTCTCTCATACACACACACACACACACACAGTACAGTCACAATCACCTATTTCCTTTTTGGCTGGAAGGGAGAAGTGGAAGCAGGAATTCTTTTCTGTGCAGTACAGCTTCAGTGCATTTTAGCCCCACCTCCTTCGTGTGGTAAGCTCTGCCCCGCAGTTCGGTAAGCCCCACCCCCTTTTCATAGTCCCCGGTGGAATATAATGAATCTTCCACCAGGGGACTTCCTTTAGCTCCCCTTGCACTCACCCAGCCATGTTTGAGCTGTGTCAGCCACATGGCGCCCCCTGCTGCATGGCGCCTTGTGCGGCTGCACAGCTCACACACCCGTAAGGCCGGCCCTGCCTCCATACCCCAGCGACATCTGATGGCCAAGTCTCACAGTCTTTTGGCTATTGGTGCCAACATTTTCCTTTCTGTTAGGACCGAGAATGGGACATCGGCATATATCCACTCTGTTGCCTTCATAAGGTATTGACTCCATCTCTCTGGAGATCGTGTCATAATATCAGACCTCACTGACACATCCCTGGTCACCTCTATAATGTCCCTGGGTGCTTCGCTTGGTGCCGCAGCTGATTTCCGCACACGGAACGCCAAGGTGATCGGTGGGGAGCCTCCACTGCTGTCAATGCCCATGGAAATCAGCATATCGTAAACACACCGTAGGAGCCCTGCATTTTCAACCATTTCATGGATGTCCCTGATGCGCAGGTTTCTTTGTCTGTGGCGGACCTCCAGTGTAGTCATTGCTCTGCTCAAATGCTGAACCTGAGAGGTAAGTTCTTTCAATCTGTTATCCGTGGTTTGGAACTTCTCTTCTCTGGCAGCCTCTCTCACTTCCAAGTCCCGGACTTTTTGAAGGACCACCCGGAGATCCTCCTTCCAGACCCTTCAGAGGTCCACCAGGAGATGCTTTATGTCACTTTTTGTTGAGGGCCACTCGTCCTCCTCGGCCCCAGACAAAAGGGAAGCCTTGTCCGATTGGGGGGAATTCATGGCTTCCTCATTGTCCTGTGAGACCTCTGATGCCTCCGAGTCATACTGGACCTCATCTTTGATTGCTGTTGTGGCACCGGCCGCTCAATAGAAAGTCGTATATCGGGCTGCCTAGGCACCTCTGGGCTTAAGGCTTCTTATGTTTGCACCCCATTGTCTCTGCTTTTGGGGGGTTTGTGTTTCTGCCATTGAGCTTTTGTTTTTGTGGCTTTTTTCCCTGGGCCTTTGCATAGCCCTGTGGAAAGATGTCTATTCAGTAGCGTTGTTAGCCATGCCCCACGTAGTTTGCTATTTTGATGTTTATCTGTAGTATGAGAATACAGGTGCTTATTGTTTAGTTAAGTCTGCCATTCCCTCAGAAATGCAGAAGTAAGTCTACTAGCCTTTTCCCCTAATAACAGAATTTGGTGTAAAAGAAATGGTTGAGAGCTTGTTTTTGCACTTTTGCTTCATCTATACAGGATCTAAGGGTTTTATTTTATGTACAAGTTTCGTTGATGGATTTTGCTTATTTTCAGCATTGGCTATAGCCAACTCCAAAAGCCATTGAACAATTTGAGTAGATTTTTATTTTTTTATTTTAAAGTTGCCTACATATGAATAGGCCTAATATCACTGGCTTGTGAGCAAGCCAGAGTGTCTCTTGAGATATCTCTGGTGTACTAAGGATAATTTATCTTGCAAGGTGAGGGTGACAGAAGCATGATCAGACCTCTTCATTTATCCTATATTGCACTAAAGTGTTTGGGTAAAATCTTCTGGTCTGAGGTAGCATTTGTATATTTAGGAGTTATGTGCTGGTGAACAGAATTAGTAATCTTTCTAATTACGGTGGAACCGTCTTAATGCATCTAACAGATTGTGAAGGTCAAAAGAAGTTGAGGATAGATTTGCAAGAACTCTGTAGATTTCTCAATTGGGTAGCAGTAAAGTAACAGTTTTTTGGGGGGCCTGTGATGTAATTAAAGTGCCCAGGAAACCTTGACATACTTCACATATGTGTTTACATAACGTATCTAAAAAGAATCTTTAATTCGAGTTATGGAAAATACCCATTGACTGGGGTATATTGGAATGAGTGGATTACACAAAGAATTATTAGATATCTGCCAGCTGTAATCAGACACCTTGTGGAGAATCTGAAATAACATATTTGTGTTTATTAAAATCAAAACACTCCTGGATTTAGTTTGAGCCACTGAATGGTATTGGATAGAGTAAGCAGAGTTCTAAAATGTAGAGGGATAACTTCAGGGTTAACTTCAAAATGAGTCTCCTGAAGGCATGAGACATCACAGTCTCATCTCTTTTAGTCAGCAAATAACAAATTACGTTTATGCTACTACTTTCATAATATTTGGAATAAGTGAAGCGTAAAGTCAGCAATACAGTGAAGAACATGTACTAATTTTGTAAGCTCAAGACAATCCACATAAGAGGGGGACCTGTAGTAAGGTATAGTACCATTGGCACAAAAAAGCTATGGCTAGAAAAGTGAATTAAAAAAATAAAACCAACACTGAACAAGTATTTACATGTGTACTAGCCCCAAATACTTCTCATATGGGGAATGATTCACCCTCAACAGGACAACAGTGAAGCATGGGGAACATGGTTTGTGTTAGTATTGCCACTTTCTATAGCTCTTCCTAGGACAATATAAGGGACCAGAGAGCTCAAACTGAATGGGTTAGTTATCTCGTGTGTTAACAAGCCATCACAACATTTAGGTTTACCAATAATATATGTGTTAAATAAGAATAAATCTGCATAAAAAATTAATAAAAAGAAACCCAAACTAAGTGCAACATGTACTGATATCTCACTACCTTGCATCTATATAACCCACAATTGCATAAAACCTGTGAGTAGCAGGCATGTATAGGCCATTATGTTCCTCACACATCCAGGGGACTCTCTGCCATTCCGGAATCAAGCCACGTGTAGTTCGCCATGGACCCAGCATGGGCATAGAAATGTCAATGATTAATTTAGCTAGTGCAGCCTTCTCCTTGTCCAGCATTTTGATGGTCTTCAGAGAGCCCTCTTGGAGCACCAAAAGCTTTATGGGGAAGTACCACCTGTAGTGGATATCTCTATGTTGGAACACAGAGGTGATAGGAGACAGCATCCTATGCTGTTGAATTATGACTGGGGAAAGGTCCACAAACACTTGAAGAGCTGCATTGATCAGGAGTCTCGTGAGACCTGCTTCCTCATTGGGAAATAGTTGATCCTCCAGAGGACATCTCTAGGAGCAGACTTAGGTATGTGTTGAGGTCTTACCAACTTATGTATCAGCAAGTTATATGACTTTATGTTAGGGTATAAGGCTTTGAAGTAATCTAGTATATAGGCCATAAGGCATTATGCTCCATGGATTGAGGAACCCCTCTTATACTCAGGTTATTCCATCTTGAACAGTCTTCAAGGTCTGTAAGATTAGCTGTTACCTGAATTAGCTGTTGTTCCATGTTGGATACTATCTCCGTCGTGCTGTTGGGTGCTTCATCATAGTCGGCCATATTGTTTTCAATATGGGATGTGTGTTCCCCTAGATCTGCAATATGCTTTCTGAACTCAGAAATCATTGACTTAAATTGTTGGATAAAGTCCTTAGGCAGGGACTGAAGGTGGGATTGCATCCTGCCTTTAGCTATGTTACCCTCCAGTGAGTGTTGTACTTCAGATTTATCTTCCAGGTGGACCTCACAAGGCAGACATCCTGTAGCTTCTCCAGAGAGCACCAAGTCTTGGTCTGTGAATTGGCCAGAAGAAGGACTTGTCCTACCTTATATTTTTCCTTGAGGACATAGTTCATTCCCAGATTGTAGTAAGGATGCAAGTGAACATATATTAAGTCAAATATTGATCAATTCAAAGATTTCTTATCGTCGCTTATAGCACGCTCATGCAGGAGCTCTCACTCACACGTCCATGTCATTCAGTGGTTGGCCACACCCTACACTAACATTTTAAAATGCTCCCACTGACATTTCACAATGCAAAATAATATTGTAAATAGCAGGGTTTGAAAAAAACTGCCAATAATCCGACCATTAAACCAACCTTTAATAAATACATGTTTAGTTTATCCTACCTTTTCATTAAATAAGTATTTAAGTTAGTGATTACTTTGCTTAAATATGAATTATTTACATTACAAAACAATAACTTGACAAAAACCATCATGATTTAGTTTGAAATTGTCAAACATAAGAAAAATATGAGTCTTGTCTGAATGTGAGCTAATTTGCCTACATTCACGGCTTAATAAGTAAGCTTTTTGAAATCAATACATACATGAACTTTCACATAGTCCAACTATTCAATATATATTTGAAATATAAATAAAAGATGCATAATCAATTTGGGATGTATTTGTTGTTTATTTGAAATAATATGTAAAGCTGAATGATAACAGTTAAAGGTATTCTATAACAACTTTAGCTTACTGAATCAGTTTTCATGTGTAGATCATTCTCCAGCCGTCTCACTGCTCAATTCTCTGCAATTTAGGAGTTAAATCACTTTGTTTATTCACCCTAGTCACACCTCCCTGCATGTGACTTGCACAGCCTTCCTAAATACTTCCTGTAAAGAGTCATCTAATGTTTACACTTCCTTTACTGCAAATTCCATTTAATTTAGAGTTTCTTAACTCCTGCTCTGTTAGCTTGCTAGACCTTACATGAGCCTCCTGTGTGTAATTAAAGTTGAATTTACAGAGCAGGAGATAAAAACTTTTAAAATAAGTTATATCTGATTGAAAATGAAACCATTTTGTTTTCATGTAGGCTGTGTCAGGAAGATGATTAATCTCCTAAATGGCAGCGAATTAAGCAGTGAGCATGATCTATCCACCATAACTGCTTAAATAAGCTAAAATTGTTTTCGTAATTTTAGTGTCCCTTTAAATAATTTGTTCTTAAACAGTGTTTTTGAATTTTTGAAATGCTAAAATATCATAACTGACTTTGCTTTAAATCATCCTTATCAAATGTGTCCTATGAATTATTCATTAATATTTAACAATATGCATGTTATTAAAAATGTATAAATATGTTCTGCCTTAAAAACAAAGACTATCAGTCTGTGTAGTATCACATAAACAATCATCTCATTAATGATTTTACAATACTAAGTCTTAAAAGATTTGTAATTACCCAAAGCAAATCAGTCACCGTTTGCTCTACTCTTCAAGTTTAATGCATTGAGTTCTTTAAGAATCTCTACCACCTCCTGATTGTTGATTTGTTTCTTTTTAAATACAAATTTCAGTAAAATTTCCCACAGTGAAAAGTGCTTTTTAATTATGAAACCCTAGTGTGTACGAATGATTCAATTTACACATAGGGACACAAGTTTACACAAGTTAATTCACTTGACCATAATTTATTTTGTTTTAAAATTCCTCCATTCTGTTCTTTGCATTCAATGTTACAATGTGGGTAAAGAGAAATAATAAATATGTCTCTCTATATACAAATCTAAGAAAATATTTTCTGTATATAGCTAAAAGTGCCATTAAATATTTTTTAATACAAAAAAGAAATATGATAGTTAATCAAATGTTTTATCAAACATTTTCAATAGCTATAGGGAAGCATGTTATGTTCAATGATTTATTTTTCCAGCAGGACTTAATAGACTACTATTTTGTAATTAAAAAATAAATAAATAAAAAATACATGAAATTAATGAAAGTAAAATATGGGGTCCTTGAAATTCTGGATTTGTTATTTAATGTTAAAAAACAGAAGTATCAGAAAGAGTCGCATAATAATTTTAAAAGGAAATACATGCATGGTTTATTTTCAGATAGTTTATTATATAACGCATTTTCCCAGCATGGATTACGTTGCCAAATAAGATTATGACACCTGTCTTTATATAGGGTCCATTAATTGCCTTGAATTACAGAGATTCCCAAATCATGAATCAAGAATGTATTAACCTCTTAAGAGCAATCACTAGCATCAGCTGAGTGCCATCAGCCAGCAAATTAACATCCATGCAAGTCTTATGCTCTTGTAATATTAGCCAGCTAAGAACTCTCCTTCCGGGCTGTCTAATGAAAGCTTGCAGAAGATGCACTAGTTAATTTCTATATCTCAGGATGAGCAATGTTTCATACTAAAAAGAGGCACACACAGGGTCCTTGCACCATGATAATTCCAAAACACTGAAGTGGTCATAGTGCTTGGAGTAACTATTTCACTATATGCATTTTAAATTGCAAAATTTTAATTATTCTTCAACGTAATTATTTTCAAGTTCAAATATTTTGTCCTAAAATTTACAATGCACTTCTCTGTTTTCCACAATTCACAATACACCTTCCATGTGGCAACTGGTTTTAATTGACTTATTTAATTTTGATTCTAAATCTTAGAAATTTTGGTTACATTGTCAGTTCTTGTTTAAAAAATATTATCACCAGTCTTAAGAAAAAGTATTTTTGTGACTTCATCCAGCAATCAAGTTGTAAAACCTATGAGTGAAATGCGAATGACTAGCACCAAAACTTTTTTTTATTAGGTCTTTAATGGAACAATTTATGATCATAGATGCTGTCACGAACACACCCTACTCCAAGAGTGTGTGTGACGTAGTTGTGGTTGTGAAAGGGTTAAAGTTCACTATTTGTCTGCACTAGACCGTAAATAATGACAAAATCCCCCTTTAACACCACCCACACTTAAACATAATAATATAACTATTACTATTTTAATGCTGCCACGACCAAGACATTTTATAAATGGGGTGCCTTGGTCCCCCAGGTAAATCAACAATAAAACCCACCAAATATTACTTAGTACAATATTCAAGGAATTATAAAAATACTAACTAGTCTCTTCAGGTAACGTGATTCTTAACCAGACAAAGGCAAAACTTAATAAATGAATGTTTATTATGAGCAAAAGATAGTCACAGTGCTTATAAAAATATATCATAAACAAATTATTTACACCAACAACAGGTAAAAACAAAAAGGATAAAATACAGAAAGTCCTAATTACTCACTTAGGTTTTCAAAGTACAACTTCTGTCCAGGGGGTCTCTGGCAAGGAAAGATGGTGACTCACTCAAAATTAGATCTTGGCCCCAAGCAAGTACACAAACACCCTTCAGGATCACAGGAGATATACCCTGTGAATTGCCACGCCGCACCCAGGGGTGGAGCAATAGGGATACTAAGTGACCACCTCCTTTGTTCCAGAAATCAACATGCCACATACATGGTTTTGGTTTTATCTCCTCTACTGTACTTGCCACAGAAATAATAATTGCTTCTATGAATTTGTTATTGTTTTCCCATTCCATAGACATGTTGCACGCCCCGCCCATGATCCAATAGGACGGACATCACAATTCCTGCCACACGGTTTAAGTTGTGCAACTCATGCTTAGGCTTAATTAAGAGATTGGGCTTGTCCCATTCCAAATATAATAAAAATGAGGCTTAATTATTAACCTGTGGGTAAGTATTGATGTTTCACTTGGATAAAATACTGGAACACAAGGATCTTCATGAAACTAATCCCATTACCATCAAAGGATTGAAATATCCTTTACAAGGTACATGCCAAATGGATGAAGAGACATTCAGACTTTTTCCAAGTGTAGAACCTCACACCTTGCAGAGCCTTGATTACTTCACATCCATATAGTAAAATCCTTTTCACATTCCTATGCCATTCACACTACCCCTTCTGTCATTTGACCTCTGTGGGGATCCCAGCTTCAAAAGATGTAACCCCTTTTGACCTCAACAATACCATCTCTGTAATTTGTGCCATTAACTACACAAATTACATTAAAGGATAATATTCCATAGGGTAATAATACATTATGCACCCTTGCTGTGACAGATGCATTTATAGATATTTTCCCTTCTCAAAATTTTGTTAGATGTCAGCTCTGATCATTAATTAGACCTTAAATTAAAGACCCATAAATAATGAACAAGGAACTTTGAAAAGCCAGAAGCTTATTGGGTTATAATCAAATATATGATTTGATGTCCTATGCCCTTATTATTAAATAGCTATAAGGTTGTTTAGATAGTCCCTGTGCATTCTTCTGGAATGCTTTCCTTAGACTTATTAATCTTATATATTATCTAATACATGCAACAGAAGGGAACTTGCAGCTCTCCAGCATTGGTAGTGGAAAAAGGTAGTTGCAGACCTCAAGTAAGAAGTCAAACTGCAAAAAAACTGTTTGTTTACTTACTATGGGCACTCCTGGCAGCATAACCACTACTGTTGACAAGAGTTGAAGAAAGCCCTGCTTAAACAAGTTATTTAGAATAGATTATTTGCGCTTTATGATCATTGAAGATTTGCACCCATTAACAGAATGTTATTTATTATAGAAGAAATTACTCATACACATTTACAATCTTATTTGTTTGTTCTACATTGATGTTCACAGATATTCTGGTTGAACTCACTGTAGGATATTAAAAACTGTCTTTGCAATATTTTAGGCAAAATAGGATTTTAGAATCTTTTTCAATACATTTGTAAAAAAAAAATATAGCAGCTAATTAATCAGCACTTGAACATGCCACACAACATAGAAAATGTTGAGTCAACCAATAACAAAATTGTTTACAAATTTTACTCAGCTATTTGTAGAGGGCTGCTCCTGTTTCATGCTTATGTTAAACAATACTATGTATGTGACTATGTTAAAATAA